CACAGCACTGTACCAACTACTAGAAAGAAAATTGACTATATGCCAGCCAAAACCAGGACAGATGTTTTCCAGGGACTTCTATATGAACCAGTCACAGAATAATTTCCAATAGTAAACAACTTTTACAATTTGGACAGTAACTTAGAGCATTTTGTGATTTCCCATTCACCAGACTAAAACTACTAAGTCAATTTGAATTCTAAAACCAGTCCATTTAACATGAGTGTCAACATTGTGCAGTTCAGTTTGATTTAGAGGGGAGTCCAGTTATGTTTTTTGTTATTTATATACTCTGTAGTGTTAGAAACCATTTTATCCGTTCAGTGAAGGGTTTGTTATTGTCTTCTAAAGTTATTTGGTGTTTAAGGAACTTTAAACATCTAATTTTTGAATAACTGTTTCGTATTTTTAAAGGTTGATCTGTAATTTCATTGGATTTAAATTATTTCAGACCATGCTTTGTATTTCTGCTGGTTTTGAGGTTTTCTTGTTCATGTGTAAGACTAGAGCTAATGAGCAAAGAATGAATGTTGATGAAGCATAGATGTCTTAGTGTGGGCAAAGGTGAAGGGGAAGGGACAAAGTTTACGGGCTGGGATTTGAACCTTTCCTTCCTGAAAACAGGCAATACTGGGCATCAAAATGTCTATTTTAGAATTATAAAAATAAATGGTAAAAACATAGGCTACAACTTACCCTCGGAAAAGCAAAGTATTGGAGTTGGCCAAAGCTGATTAAGCCAGCAGGCCTAGCAGTTGTCTTGTGGCATATCAGTGAGGCCTTGTCTTCTGATCACCCATGTCAAAACATAAATTTAATAGAAATAAAAATATGAGTAGATCTCTAAATCACTTTATTTTGACTTGCTGTATCTTATGTCCATAAAGTACTGAATGATATTTGATTTCAAGCTGACACACTTCAGTTGCTCAAAACTTCAGATTCTTGAAAATCTAACATACAGTACATAATGATGTTTCTGGCAAAGGTAAATGTATTTTTTTCTTAACCTTACAGGTTTTATGAATGGTTCTTGACAATTTTTCTCCCCTCAGCTCCTGAAAAATTGCTGATGTTATTTGTGATGGTACACTAGCTCAGAAGTGGTCAAAGATCTAATGCTAAAAGCTGATTGTTAAATGAGAACAAAAGAGTTTAGGAAACAGCTTGAAGGCACTGCTTTGTGCAGTATTATGTAGCTATAAACCATATTCAACAAACTAAGGAATTGAACTTATAGGTAAATAGATGCATATTAACTTGTAATTGAATACAGAAAACTTTCCAAGTGTTTTAGAAACAACTTCCTAAGCTTTTACTGACCATGAATAAACCCTACTCGAACCCAAAACATAATGGCAAAAGCAAGTCTAAGATTGTAAGCGTAAAACTAGATAAACTACTGATGTTACAAAAGGGATTTTGATCTGGTTGCTCAATTGTTTTAAGATATCAAGGTTGTTCTTATATGCATGTAGTATAGAAAATAAATTCTTAATATGTATTCATTTCACAAGTATACTGAGTATGTTTTGTGTTGTCAGTCACTTTCTGTACAGAAGAAGATTTTTATTTCAGAGCAGTTTCCATACCTACAAGAAGTCAATGTTATGCAATATTTTCCCACAAGCTACCATATACAGTTATTTATCAGACTTAGGAGCATTTTTAGGAATAAGGAAAATTCTGCATTTTTTCTATTGCTTTGAATTGTGTTTACAGAGTTTGTTGACTCATACTCCTGTGAAACCATTGGTCATGTTTGGATGCCATAGTTGACAAATTAGTTTTGACTATAGCTGCATTTTTTAATCACTCTCCATATTTCTTTTCAGGGATCCCTCATGAAGCTGCATAGAGTAACAAAGGCTTTCTAAAGTTTTAAAAACAAGCCAGGGAGAGTCTTTTTTTAAGACTGTAGATGGACATTGGGAGAAAGCTGTAGTCTAGGCATGTTGTCATTTTGAAAGAGCAAAAAGGTCTTTGTCTTGTCCTAAATCTGAAGATAATCAGGAAATGCCTGAGAGATCATGCAGGGGATTCATGTTGTCTCATAAAGGGAGAAATCAACTTGAATGACAGATATTATAGAGGTTCAGAACTTACTTTGTGCAAAATTACTACCTGCAAAAACATGCACGTGATCGTGTGATACTTATCAAGAGAGTTTGCAGTCCTTGGTCCTGCCAGAATGCATGTGTTGAACGTGCAAGCTGCCACGTGGCAGGGTCTGCTATGCCCAGTCTGGTGTCCCACAGGTGACACTCAAGAAATGGTGCTCAGTGCCTGGTGCTTTTTTTCTTTTTTTTTTTATCACGACTACTCTACAGACCGCCTCAGTGTTGTACCTGCTCCCATGTCTGCTCCTGTTTGGTCAGCTCTTTGCTCCTCCAAACCATGTCTTTTTTTCTCCAACCCCAGTCCTGCTCTGTTCTTGTGTCTGCACAGGGCAGTCTGACTTTTTCCCACACAGTGCAGCACCCTCACTACCAAAACCCTTTCAATTTATCCCAATATGTGTGTGTGTAATTTATTTATTTTTCTAGAATCATTAACACACCAAAAGGGGAAGCAAGTAGGGTATCAACTAATGCTGTAGAAGTTTGTTCTTTCTAACCTTCTGTACTAATGTAAGCTACTTTTGTGAAATCTTTAATTAATCTTACAGGTGGAGAAAGGAACCCTTAGGTTATTATATTCAATAGTCTGCATTTTTTTGAAAAGGATGTGTTAAGATGTCAAAATGGAAAGAGGAGTTGAAAACTGATCATTCAACTGTTAGGACACAGGCATTTCTCCTAAGCCTAACCTAGGACTGATCACATATCAATGAATGGATTTCCGTATCAATGATAAAAACTAGTGTGACTCTACCTCCTTAAGTGGTACTTCTCATCCTTCTTTAGTACTTACATTCCCACCTAAGTCAAGGAGGACTTAGCACTTACATCTTTATAGTCTGCATTAGACTGCAACATTACAATGGTCATGTTTCTGCCATGCTTAAGCAGACATTTCTAATAGACTGTGTTACTATGGCATCCTGTTAGTTTTTTCTTTTTGTTCGGCATCAAGATATGTCTGGAAAAAAGAATTACTTATAATTAGTGATGAGTTATTCTCTCAGTTCCTATTAGGGTTTGTAATGAATACTAAATACTTTGTGGTAGTGAAGGAATGGTAGGAGAAAGGAAGAGTAAGGAACTGATAACTGTTTTTACAGGATTGTTTTTTTCTTAAGTTGTCCTTTTCTTCTTTCTCTCTCATCTCTATATAGGCAAAAGTGCATTTATATTCTTATATATATGTCTGAACACTTAACAAGGGAAAAAGGAAATGTCTCCTATTTAATATAACTAATTGTGATGGTTCGAACTTGGCTCCCTGCCAAATGCCCAAACCCCATTAGTAGCCTCCCCCCCCTTCCCCCTTCCTTCTTCCCCCAGAGCAAAGGAAAAAAACTATGTAAATTGAAGAACCCGAAAATCCAACTAGTTATATAAAAAATATATATATATTTGATGTATATTACAGTTAAGATGCTATGTACACAGTAAAAAGGAATTCAAACACCCCCCGAAGGGATAGGGAAAGGGGAAAGGGGAACAAAAGGGAACAAAAAGGGACACCGAGCGGATATACGCAATCAAATCTGAGAATTAGTAAAGTAACTAGTAAAACAAATCTCACCACGTCCCTTAGAAAAAACAGGATTGGCACACACGACCAGCACTCTGCTATCCTCCACGTGGCAGGCCAGTGGTCGCTGCAGGCCTCAGCCTTAGATAAGCGAGACCAACACAAGGACCCACTGTTCCCAAACCTTGCTGGAAGAGAAGAGAGTGAAGACCTCTCTTCCCTTCTTATTTATACCCCGATTTACGTAAAAATTGTATGGAATACTGGGAACACTGCCTCTTCCTTGGTTACAAACTGGTAACCAAGGAAGGCCTAGATTAAAACCATCACACTAATACTACTTCAACTGAATTAGTTGAAACTTCCAGATTGGGAGGGCATCGTGTCCTGGGTAGATAATGGGAAAAAAAAGTCTTCTAAAGATTGTTTAACTGAAGTTGTAAATCTTGTATATGTTTCCCCTGCTTTATATGCTGATTATAATATCATATAATATGGAATATCCCTTTAGAGTCAGCTGTCCTGGATGTGTCCCCACCCAACTTCTTGTGCAACCCCCAGTCTTCTCGCTGGTTGGTTGGTGTGAGAAACAGAAAAGACCTTCAACTCTATATGAGTGCTTCTCAGCAATAACGAAAATATTCTTGTGTCATCAGCACTGTTTTCAATACAAATCCAAAACACAGCCCCATACTAGCTACTATGAAGAAAATTAACTCTATCCCAGACAAATGATTTTGGTTCAGTTCTTGACTTTTTAGTTGTCTTCAGAGCCTTTATTTTCTCCTTCCAATGTCAATCTTCATCCTGATGCCTTAGGATTTTTAACTTTTTGTAGATTTTAAAGTAACTGTGTAGTAAATATAGATTTTTAGTATAGACTTATAGTCTCTCACACTTTAGAATAGTCATTAACACCAAACTCTATTCCCCACTTCATATAAAATTTTCTAAATTCTTTAGGCTTGTTTAAGCTCCTTTCAAGGCAAGACTATAGTAAATACATCTTGTTTAGGAACATATGCACCCCAGGCTGGAAAAACAAGATACCATCATAGTCAAAGCAACCTTCAAGCCCGGAACCCTGGAGAAGCTCCAAAGACAGTATGTGCTGTGAAGAAGAGGAAGATGAGGAAGAAAGGGGTCTTGGGACCTCTGACTCAGTTCCGGGAAGGCGTGCCTGGGGCAGATTTGGGGAGGATCTGGGGACGGATAGTTCTCGTATCAGACCATAAACTGTGGAACCCCTGGACACAGTGCACCTTTGTACTCCTTGCACCAGAAGACCTTCATTAAAGACCTGCTCTCTGTCTTATCTATACTAATATTATCTGGAGAGATTTTTTCCTTATGGTTTTTAGGCAACAACTGGTACCCAAAAGGTGGAAACTTGGGACCTGCACTTCTTCGGATAGGGAAATTTCATCCTGCAAGGAGTTCGACTTCTGCCGACCGATCCTAAGAAACCCAACTCCTAAGAACCATGCACAGAGGAGAGGTAAAGAGCAACTCTTTGTGGTTTATTTTGATAGCAACTGTAACGTGGTTTTTCCGGAAATTAGAAGTACTTGTTCTGGGACAGGGAATGGCAACTTTCTTATGGGATCCCTTGATGTTGTGAAAGTTGGTTGCTTTTTCTCAGTTTATGGGTGAAAGTGTGAACTGACTAGAGAGGTCAGCACTTTTGTGGAGTGGCTTAGTCCCAGAGGTTTTTCTCCACTTTGCGTTTCACCCAGGTGGGTGCAGTTTGACGGGCCCATCATTGGTGTAAAGGGGGGGCTGGTGGTGCAACCCCCTCACGGCTTCTGTAAGTCAAGGAAGGGTGTGGGACTGGACTGCACCACTGTTCATTGCTCAGGGAGTTTTTGGATTGGCTTGGTATATCATGGCTAGGCTTCGCGAACGAAGATTTGAAAGGGCTCTACCCACGCTTGCTACAAGTGCGCTGATGGCTAAAAAGGCCAATGCGAGATAGACAAGTCCGGTTGCAGAAGGCACAGCAGAAAGACTCCCCAGGTGATACAGACGAGACGCGATTCTTTCTGCGTTGTCTTTTCTCCTCGAGAGTGATCCTGCGTGTGTTCTCAAAAGCAGCAGCAGCGTTATAGATGGTGTGTCTCCAGGCCTCCCGATTGGAGGCCAGGGTAGACCAATGGTGATGATCAATATGGCCAAGGCTGAGGGATTGTTTCAGGGAGTCCTTGTACCTTCTCTTCGGGGCTCCTCTCTTGCGGCAGCCAGTGGCAAGTTCCCCATAGAGCACAATCTTAGGGAGGCGGTAGTCCTGCATCCTGGAGGCGTGCCCTGCCCAGCGCAGCTGTGTTCTCAGCAGCATGGCCTCAATGCTCGTGATTGCTGCCTGTTCAAGGACAGACGTGTTGGTCACATAGTCAGTCCAGTGGATGTTTAGAATTGTGCGGAGGCAGCGCTGATGGAAGCGTTCTAAGAGACGCAAGTGGTGCCGGTAAATGACCCATGATTCGGACCCATACAAAAGAGTAGACAGTACAACAGCTCTGTAAACGCTGATCTTTGTACTTTTCTTCAGGTGTTTGTTTTGCCACACTCTTTTATGGAGTTTACCGAAAGCTCTGTATGCCTTTGCTAACCTGTTGTCTATTTCTGCATCAATCTTACCGTCTGAGGAGATGATGCTACCCAGGTAGCTAAACTGCTGGACTGATTTGAGTTCTGTTTCACCAATGGTGATATGGGGATGATGGGAGACTTCCTGAGGTGCAGGCTGATATAAAACTTCTGTCTTCTTCAAGCTGACTTCCAGTCCAAACAGCTCAGCAGCCTCTGCAAAAGCAGGATGTTAGACGCTGCAGAGCTACTTCTGTGTGAGCAACGAGGGCGGCATCATCAGCGTAAAGCAGCTCACGGATAAGATAATTTAAGGTCTTAGTGTGGGCCTTCAGTCGCCTTAGGTTGAACAGGCTCCCGTCCGTGCGATATCGAATGTAGACACCGTTTTCATCATCGAGGTCTGCCGTGGCCCTTTGGAGCATCATGCTGAAGAAGACTGTGAATAAAGTTGGTGCAAGACGCAGCCTTGCTTCACACCATTGGCTATTGGAAACGGCTCAGAAAGTGCGTCACCATGTCTCACTTGAGCGCTGGTCCTCATGAGCGAGATGATCATTTTGAGGAACTTGGGAGGACATCCTAAACGTTCCAAAATCTGCCACAGACCTTTTCTGCTCACAGTGTCGAAAGCCTTGGTGAGATCAACAAAGGTAACATAGAGTCCTTTGTTCTGTTCCCTGCACTTCTCTTGCAGTTGTCTGAGAACAAATACCATGTCTGTGGTACCTCTGTTGGCTCGGAAACCACACTGGCTTTCAGGTAGAAGATCTTCTGCTATGGTGGGTATTAATCTGTTCAACAGAATTCTTGCAAGGATTTTACCAGCAATGGAGAGCAGAGTAATACCTCGGTAATTTGAGCAGTCTGACTTATCTCCTTTCCTCTTGTACAAGGTGACGATGACAGCGTCACGAAGGTCTGAAGGTAGTTCACCTCGTTCCCAGCAGCGCATCACAAATTCATGAAACTTAGCACAGAGTGCTTGGCCACCCGATACTTCCAGATTTCAGGTGGGATTCCGTCAACCCCAGCTGCCTTGCCAATTTTCACCTGCTGTATTGCTTTAAGAGTTTCTCCCATGGTGGGGGCGGTATCCAGTTCAGTTTTCACGGGTTGTTGTGAAATGAACTGCAATGCTGAGTCTTGAACTACGGTTAGTACTGAAGAGGGTCTGAAAGTGTTCAGACCATCGATTCAAGATGAAAACTTTATCTGTGAGAAGCATTTGGCCATCTGCACTGAGTAATGGGCTTTGAACCTGGCGTGTAGGACCGTAGGCTGTTTTCAGAGCCTCATAGAATCCCCTGTAGTCACCTGTATCTGCGCATAATTGGATTTTTCCACTAGATTGGTCCACCACTTGTTCTGGATGTCACGAAGTTTCTGTTGCAGCTTGCTGCATGCGAGTCGAAGGCTGCTTTTCTTATATGACAAGATGGCTGAGCAAGGTGGGCTTGGTGAGCAGTTCTCTTCTTCCTCAACAATTCCTGGATCTCAAGATTGTTTTCATCAAACCAGTCCTTGTTTTTCTTGAAGGAGAAGCCTAAGGATTCTTCAGAGGACTGCAGAATGCTACTTTTAATAAGTTGCCAAAGTGCTTCGGGAGAGGAGTCTGTGGAATGAACTTGAGCCTGGATTGAAGATTTACCTGGAATCTGTCCCTCACTGTAGCTGATTGAAGACTGTTAACTTGAAGTCTCCTTCTAGGAATGCTGCCCTTTTTAGGTTTGAATTTAAGGTGGAGGTTAAGTTTACAGCGCACGAGGCGATGATCCGTTTGACATTCTGCACTAGGCATCACGCGGGTGTGACGAACATCGCGGATATCTCTCTGTCGGACCAGGATATAATCAATGAGGTGCCAGTGCTTGGACCTAGGATGCATCCAGGTTGTCTTCAGACTATCTTTCTGCTGAAAGATAGTGTTGGTGATGGTAAGCTGCTGCTCAGCACAAAACTCTAGCAGAAGGCGACCATTATCATTGCAGTTCCCAACACCATGCTTGCCTAGTACTCCTTTCCAGGCTTCAGAGTTCTTTCCTACTCTGGCGTTGAAATCACCAAGGATAATGATCTTATCATCTGCAGGAACCTTTTGGATAAGGTGGCGTAGGTCGTTGTAGAATTTATCTTTTTCAGCAGGGTCAGCTTGGAGGGTTGGGGCATATATACTAAAGAGAACAGCATGTTGCTTGTTGTGTAGTGGGAGGCGTAGGGAGATGATACGATCAGAATGACCAGTTGGCAGATTTTCGAGTTTAGAGGCAATAGAGTTTTTAATCATGAAGCCAACTCCTGAGAGATGCCTTTCAGAACTGGGTTTACCTGACCAGTAGAGTGTATAACCGGCACCATGTTCTCTAAGGCTGCCTTCCTCATGAAGACGAACTTCACTGAGAGCAGCGATGTCGATGTTGAGTCGTGACAGTTCATGGGCAATTAGAGCGGAGCGGCGCTCAGGACGACCACTGTTTGCAGTATCGAGCATGGTTCTGATGTTCCAGCATGCGAGTGATAATTTGAGTACACCTTTGGAGGCAGGTGTGTGCCTTTTGCTCTTAATCTTTATTTGACCGCAACAGAAGGTGCCTGTTGGCCGCGGCTAGTAACCAGGTGAAGGATGGAGATGAGCTTTGGTTAGGCCACCTTTTCTAGGCCCCTCTCCGTGTGGAGCAAGCAGTGCTCTCCTTGGAAAAGGCTGCTTGGTCATTCAGGATGCTGCCGAGTGAGTCTGTCATCTCCAGGGTCAGACTCAGGCGACCAATGTCCTGAACCGCCTGCATGCAGGGTTAGGACTGCAGCTTCCAGTGCACCTTGTCACCTGCCGTTTCGTCCCTCACCTGTCGCTGCAGGACTTTACAAGTGTGGGTATAACCCTAGAGCCTGCACAGTGGATTTTTTAGGTGAGGCTCAGTTTGCGCAGAACTGATCCCACCCTTTACTCCTGAGGTTCATCTGCCAGGGCCTAGCAAGCTTGGACGGTGACAGTGAGGTCCTCAGGGCGTAGGTTTGATTAGAGTATCCTTCTCTTGGATGGATGGCCTTACAGGGCTAAGCGAGCTCCATCTGCCCGGGTTTGAAATTAGAGTTGTCCTTCTCCTAGGATGACTGCCGGAAGGCTAGTGAGCTCATCCTGCCCACGGACACATTTGACCCTTCAGTTTTGACCTGTCTGGCATGGGAGACCCTACCGGAGGCATATGCCACCGCCAGCACAGCTCGCAACCTCATAAGGGCATACTGAAATAGTTTGGACAAGCCCTGCTCTCCCAACTTTTCCTTCACAGCTTCCTACAGTTTAACCCAGGGACACTTCCTTGCCCTGAGTACCCCTCAAGACACTAGGAGAAGAAGAAGGGAAGAGGGGGAAAAAAAAAAAAAAAAACAAACCAAACCCAAACAAAAACAAACAAACACCCAAAACAAACAAACAAAAACCCCACAACAAACCCAAAACAACCACACGAATAAAACAAAACCAAACAAAGAACAAAAACAAAACCAACAACAAGCACCAGCACAAAAACCCACAGAACAACAACAACAATAATAAAAGCACACCACATTCCTGGGCAGAAGCCACTAGAAGCCACTAGCAAGCCGAACCCATCATATCCCAACTCCCACTGCGACAACACCCGGCGATTCCGGCATACCCCCAGGCAATGGCAGGCACACGTGTAAGAAGTGCCCACATACACCCTAGGTTAGGGCACCCTCCACATCCCCTGCCCAGCCAAAACCCCCCAGCCTCCAGAATAAACCCACTACCCACCCCAAACCTCAGCCCCCAGCGTGCCACTGCAAGCTCCCCTTTGCACTGCCCGTCCGCGGCCCCCAAATGAGGCCGCCCCGCCGGCCCCCCACGTCGGCCCGGGGAAGCTCCAGGTCCGTCCACCCTCCCCCTGCTCCTGCCCGGCCTGACCCGGCACGGCTCGACCAGGGGATCTCGCCCCGCGCTGAGCGGGACCATCTACCCGCCCCCTCCGACGGTCTGGGGAACCCCCGGGACCGTCCGACCCCCTCCCTGCACCCGCCCGGTCCGACCCGGCGCGGCCCGGTCCCGCGGCCCGGCCCCACATGGCCACCGGCCATCTGCCAACCGCTCCGCCGTTCCGATGTCGAAGCACAGCTCCCGACGGCTTCTCCAGGAGGTCGACTGCACAGATCGGTGCTGCAGCCTTTCCCACGCATGCAGGGCCACTACGAGCCGCGAGAGCAGGAGCGGGTCCCTCACCACCCACAACCCAGCTGCAGGAGCACCCCGAGCGCGTGGCCGCCTGCCCGCCCGCCATCTTGGCCCCCCTATTTGGCTTGGTACAGCCAAAAGAAAAAGGGGATGCCCTCTCTCTAAACCCTCTCCTGTATTGAATAGTCTGTCCTTGCCTGAAGTCACTGGTGGTGTGTGGTACAGAGAGCTTGCTTGGTAACCCTGAGGTTGCAAGTTCAAATCCGGCATTTCAGCTACCATGGGAGGCACTATCACGGGCCCCATGGATGACGCTGTGACCGCCATGCCTGTGGCAATTGTCATGGATGGTGTGGTGGTGGGGTAGGTGAAGGGTCCACAGACCCCCTGGTGAAGGATTTAGAGGTGGAGGATTTTGACTTAGACCCTTTGAAACCATTTCCCTGAGGAATTCACAGGAGCAGTGA